AAACTCTCATGGCTGCCTGGTTTCAGACAGAATGAGCCCACCTTGTTTCCTTACTTTTCCACAGTAGGACAGAGAGATCTACATGTCTACCCCACTCCTGATTGTGCCTTGGATGGCTGAGGGGATACAGGGTGAAGGCTTTGAAATATAACTGTCTGCGTGGGATTAACAGTATGGGACAGTGTTTTATTTGCTCCTTCAACTCCTTTTAAGCTCCCATCTCAGGAGCTTGCTGGCCTATGTTTGTGGAAAAACATGTGGTGCATCTGGCTGCCCCATCTTAACTTCTGTGTCTGTGTATGGGGCCCAGTGTGTGGGGCTGTATTGTCCAGGCAGGTACTGTGAGATGGACTGGTTGCACTGTGGTAATGTTTGGGGCCTGGACCTTAGCAGAGTCCCACAGCGGGTAGAAGCTGGTGACAAAAGGCCACATCTTTTGGAGCTGGTAGGCTGTGAGGCATGGTGCAGTGGGGGAGCTGTGCGGACAAGTACCTGTGCTCACCGTGATGTAGCAAGTGACCAGTAGATGGTGCTCTGACAACAGGAAAATACAGCTCCACCAGTCCTGTGAGGTGTTTCTCCCAGGCTGGAAAAGGATTTTCAGATGGTCTTCAAGCTGGTTTGCAACCAGTTGCGATCAGTTGCTGATTTTTTACATATCCATTTTGGGTTTTTAAGAGAGCAGTGGAACTGAGAGCATTGGATTAAGAATGTTTACCAGATTTCCTTTATGTAAATAAAGCATTATGGCAATGACCTGATCTCGGACTTTTTCTAAGGGCTTTCCTGGATCTCAAGGGCAGTAGATACCTTCTCAGAGTCTTATGCACCTTCCCAGCATGGTGTCTGCAGCAATTGGCCAATGATGAAATTAAATTTGAGTATGGTGAGCATAGCATTTCCATAGGCTTATAGTAAATGTATAGTTTCTTTTTCAGCCACGAACAATTTGAAATTATACTATTACTGCCCTGAAGGAAGGTGTGGGTATTAGAAAGATCAATCAACTGGAAGGCAGAAGATCTGCCAGAAGTCCAGGTTCCTCTGCCTCTTATCAGGTGTGAAGAAATGATAAACTACCTATCTGAAACTGTTGCTTTGTCTGTCCAAAGAAACATAATACATGTGTCACTAGGCTGAGCCCAGAGGCTTGGAGTGAAGATCAGCTGTGCAGTCCATATAAATGGAAAACTTATGAGAAATTTCCACGTATATAAAATATTCAACTGTTAAAATTGTAGCACTCTTGGGGGCCAGGAGAATGATGGGTTTGGTGAGCATAAAACCAAATACAGTCTCAAAGGTCTCAAAGCAAGCAGTGGAGTATGAGAATGTGTCTTCTTTCCAGCATTTCTGCAATTAGGCCAAGTCCATTTTCAAAGCCATATAATACCAACATGTTTGCCTCTGCCCTTTGGACTGTTGTTGTTATGTGCCATTGAGTCATCTCCAACTCATAGCAACCTTATGTACAACAGAATGAAACACTGCTCTGTCCTGTGCCAGCTCATACCTGAGCGCATTGCTGTAGCCACCGTGTCAATCCATCTTGTTGATGGCCTTTTCCTCTTTCGCTGACCCTCCACTTTACCAAGCATGACATCCTTCTGCAGGGAATGGTCCCTTCTGACAACCTGACCAAAGCAGGTGAGACGAAGTCTGGCCATTCTCAATTCCAAAGAGCATTCTGACTGTACTTCTTTGTACTGTATCCTCCAAGAATTCACAGCTTCTAACTCCCCTTCACAGGTGTTCATATTCCCCAATGTAGTCTACATTATCCCCAACTTATTTTTGTTGATACCCTTCTCCTCAGCCAGCCAGCAGACTCCAATTCTAGCGGGTCCTCACATTTCCCTGCCTTGGGAATCTAATTCTCTAAAGAATTACAACTGCCATAGAAAACACAAGACACTGCAGAGAGAGGACAGGGAATTCGTATTGGATCTCTGCTGAGTGGGTGACATTGAGAAGAGACAAGTCAGGGATCCCTGATTTTCCACTAATCACTGTGGGACTTAAAAGGCTAGTGAACTTAAAAGCCTAGGTGATGGGTGGTGTGGGGGGGGAAGCACTAGACACAAGACTGCTGGCCACCCTCCAGCCTGCTAACAAAATCACAAAGGAAAGAGGTGAAATTACAGTGGGAGAGTAAGGTCTGTGAAGCATTCTAGCCAGTGAAGTTATAGAATCTAATTTAATACAACATTATTTTTGTCATCTACATTGTCCATTTTTGTATCCTCAGTGCCTAGAACACTGCCTGGCATATGGAGGGTGCCATTAAACGTATTTGTTTTATGATTGAATGGATTTTCTGCCATGGATTATGGTCCTGCCTGAAAGCAGGCACATGGACTTGATACTATCAGTCAGCCCTTTCTGATCCTAGTTAACAAGATTACTGAAACTGGTGCATGTGATTGGTTCTAAGTGACTAGCTGGCTAGTGGGACTTTATGGTACATAATACTATCTTCCCTATCACTTCTGACTAGGTATTCAGACAGGAAAGCATCCTCTGACTAAGGTTGACAGAAGGATGGAGTAAGGCAGTAATGTGAAATCAAAAGAACCAATTAGAGTTGACTCACCTGTCACCTCAAATAGTAACTTTGCCTGAAGTGGGCTCCACTGAACCCAAAGGTCAACATGCTGCCGTCCTCAAGGGCAGCAGTGCTTTCTGGGGGTGGGCATGTTGAGACCAATCCTTTGGATTTCCAATACCTGGAAAATTCTTAATACACACTCACACACACATATATTCTCACACAATACACGTGTCAGCGCTCACATGGACTTGCCCACACACAGACACGTACATGTAGGAATACACACGCCTCTCACTCAGACGTCACCTCACTTCTCACCAATTAATCTCAAAGACACTGCCTTTCACATGCATGAAGCCACATTCAGCCATGATTTCCACCTCTGGGCTTTTATCAGTTTCCTTGTTTCCTTCCTAAGCCCTTCCCTTCTTCCCATCCATTGCTCACATAGAGAGGATTTGGACAGGATTTGAGACCAAGGCAGGAAAAGGCAGAGGAAGGTGTGCCACGGTCCATGTGTGGACATGGACAGGGGCAGCTGCTCCCAGCCTTCAGTTTAAACCACTGAGTCATCTGTAGGGTAAGGCTTGGTTGCTAAACATAGCCCCTCTTTCTCTGGGGCTTGAAGTCCACTTTTTCCACCTCTGCAGCTTAGATACTAATTCTGCTTTTTCCTTCATTAATGGGGTTAGTTTGAGGAAGTCAAGACAAGGGTGGGAGATTCCCTCCGTTAAGAGTTTGAGAAGAGTAGTTTTAGCCCGGAACTCACCATCTAGGTAGGGCCTCAGTATCTGGACCACCTTTCTTTGTGTTTCTGGGCAAGGAGCACAGGGCTCTGTTACAGCTGAACTCAGGAGGCTGACCCAGATGGCCCTAGTTTGCAGAGGGAGGGCAGAAGCTCCTGCCAACAGCTGGCACCAGCACCAGGATGCAGAGCCCCCAGAGGTTCTAGCCTTCCCGATGGGCCTCAGGCTGCTAGATGGGGAGAGGAGAGGGTGGTGCCATCTCGGCAGAAATCCCTTGGCAACGTTTGCGCAGCCTGAGAGGTGCAGATCAGAGGCGGCGGGGCCCGTAAGTGCCTAGAGCAGAGCACAAAGGCCTCAACTCCCCGCCCGGGCGGCTTGAGGCCACAACCGAGCCAGGCACCGCACCCAGCACAGCACTAGTGGGTCCTTTCCGCCGAGACAGAAGGCGGGGGCGCGCGCACGCGCGTCCCTAATCCGGCCCCTGCTCTCTTGCGGAGACTCTGCCGTGCCGCCAGCTGCGCCCCCATCTCTGTTCTTGGTATTACTCGTGGAAGGGAGACCCTTCACTGCATCTTTGCGGAGGTGGCCCGCTACCCTTTAGCTAAAATAAGCAAATAAGCCAAACCAGCATTAAAACTCAGCAGAGCTCCAACCTTGGTTGGCCAGGGGTCCTTCGGCTCCGTCCCCGCCTCCTCCCGCTGCACGCCAGCCCCTCCCCCGTCTCTCCCGGCGCTCCAGTGCGCGCTTCGCAGAGCCTCTGCGCTCAGCTCGCTCGCTTCCCTCCTCCTACACCCTTTTTCGTGTCTTTACTTGGTATCGAGGGGCTGTTAGGGTGGAAGAGAACACTTAGTCGCTCGTGAGGAAGTTCACTCCTTGTCTAACTCCCGTGTCAGGCTACCGCTAAGCTCGGCAGCAACCTGTTCCTCCCTCGCCCAAGCGCTTGCCCCACCGCCCGCCTGCTCGCTCGCTCCCGCTCCCGCCCTCGCCCGGCGCAGCCGCGGATCGCTGTTGCATGCTGATCCGGGAGGCGGCGGCGGCAGCGGCGAGCGCTCCGGGCGGATGCTGACACTTGGGCTTCGCTGCACTCTCGATGCTTCTTTACCTCTATCCCAAGCGAAGGAGCTTTTAAGTCATTTGCCCCTCTTTCATTGGATCGACTTCTTATTTTGATATTTTGGGCGTTGCGGTTTATGCAGGATCCTCAATACCGCTGTCCCCCCTCCCTCTCTCTCTTCAACCTTTGGATGCGTCTGTGCTGGCAGATTTAAAGACCCAAGTCTTGGCTGTGGAATTTCTTAGATGGGCTTTCAGAAATTGGCTTTATAAAGCGTGTTACCATAATCCCTTCCTCATCTTTTTTTTTTTTTTTTTTTTTAAGTTCCTTTGTTTTATTTTTTCCCTCTCCCTCCCCCACAACCAATAAATCACCAAACTGTTACCTAGCGGGCCGGTGCCTGCTTCTCTTCCTGAACTAGGCGGTGCGTCTGCCAGAAGAGGAGCGATGTTTGAAGAGCACTCTACTCCACCCCTCTCCTCTTCAGTCCCTGAACGCCACTACACACTGGCATTTTGAAAAAAAAAAAAAAAATTGCCTCCAGAAACTGAGCACCCCAAGACCCCCCAGCCCCCCATTTTTTTCCCTTCTGAGGAATGGAGCTTCGCACAGGTTGTATTTAGATTCAACAGTTCAGAGCGGTGGGGCTGCTGCCGCCGCCTCTTCGAAGAGCTCGCCGGGGCTCCCCGGAGGTGGTGGTCCCTGTGCCAGTCTGGATGCGGCTCTGAGTCTCCGTGTGTCTTTCTGCTTGTTGCTGTGTACGGGTGTTCGGCCACGATCACCTTTGTGTGTCTTCTGTCTGTTTGAACTTCAGGATGGCTCGCTTCGGGGAGGCGGCGGTCGGCAGGCCGGGGTCTGGCGATGGAGACTCGGACCAGAGCAGGAACCGGCAAGGAACTCCAGTGCCGGCCTCCGGGCAGGCGGCCGCCTACAAGCAGTCGAAAGCGCAGAGGGCGCGGACTATGGCTTTGTACAACCCTATTCCCGTCCGGCAGAACTGTTTCACCGTCAACAGATCCCTGTTCATCTTCGGAGAAGATAACATTGTCAGGAAATACGCCAAGAAGCTCATCGATTGGCCATATCCTTTCTTGCCCACCATAACCCCCCTCTCCACCTTTGCATTTCTAGGGGTGAGGGGGGAAACCTAGCATGAAATTTATCCCTCACTCCCGTCCTGTGCCAATTTGCCCCTTTTCTGAAGTGTTCTCTTTACTTTGGTGCATCTAAGGGGTGAGCTTGGTGCAGTAGAGACCGATTTGGGCACTAGTGTTTTTCAAGGTAAGACTTTTGATTTTTCCTATGTGGAAACCTCTAGGGCCCCTGGGAGAGTAGTATTGCTGCCCCTTTCTGGGTTGGGCTTTATCTGATCCTCAGGCCCCCAGGCCTCTTCACAAGCTGCATTCTGCATAGATTGGATTGCTCCTAATCTCAGGGCTTTCTTTCATAATCAGCACCCCCCTCTTCCTCACTTCAGTCTATCCCCTCCATCCCCATCCCCACCAGCTGGGGAGACACCTGCACTGCCTGCCTGTGGGGAAGTCAAGGCTTCATGAAGAGACTGATCAGTTCAGAAGCTCTAAGAGCTCTGGACCAAAACCCTGTATACAACCAGACAAATGGATAAACAAAACATGCTTTTGGCTGGGGCCCTAACTCTGGGGACTAAGTTTAAGTTCCACTGAGAGTGGAGTGAGTGAGTGTCTGTCAGGGCAGGCGATCCCTAATGCCATAGCCTCAAACAATTCAAAGTTGGAGTTCTTTTCTCAGCCAAAGAAGAGTAGCTCCGCAAGGCCCTTCCTGTCCTTAGTCTTGGACTGGGGACTCCCACCCCTTAGTGCATGATCCAGCTTGTATTCTCCCAGCACCCAGGACCCAGGCAGATCTACTGGCCTGGATTCATCAGCTGAGGGCCAGAGGTGTGCAAGTAATCTGTCTTGCCCTGGCTCCAAAGGAGCTGCTCTCACAAAGAACTGGTGGGGGCATCTTTGATGGTGGTGGTGTCTGGGTGAATGAGAACGGAAGAAGCTTCTTTGCAGGTTTAATCAAGTGCACCAAATGCAGACTGCTGATTAGGCATCTTGCTGCTTTGTTATTCACTAAGAATTTGGGCACCTGGCAAGGCCTTTAGGAAGTGGGATTGTGGGGTGGGAAGGGATGTTAGTAGGAGGCATGCCAGTGGCGTGGTGATACATGGGGGGGGTAGGCTTGGAGATGTGGACTCTGATGCTTGTGGAAGGAGCTTTCTTGAGGAGGATGCACCTGCAAAGAAGGCCCCTCCCCTTCTCCTCTGTTCTCCCTCCTCCCTACCCCCACCCTCCAGGTGTGCAGAAGTGAGAGCTGGAGCTGCGTTGGATCTCTAGTATCAGACAGGCATGAGGCTCGCTTCCCCAGGGGTTTGAGCATTTCCCTATATCCCTTCCCTTACCTTCTCCTCCTTCCTCCCTAATTCCTTGCTTCAGCAGGATCGTGATTGGCTGTTGGTGTGGTGCTTCTAGGCAGTACCCCTCATTAGGAAGGAAGGAGCATCTCTAAGCAGATATTCCTCCTGCTGCTTGCTGTTGGCATCCTCCCACAACCACCCTTAGTTGGGCTTCTCCCTCTCTCCTCCCTGTGCATTCCTACCCCCTACCCCCACAGAGTGATCCCCAACCCAAACGGTGCCTGAGTTGAACGTGTCTAAGGTGGGGGTTTTGGGGGAGAGAGAGTTTGGTCACTACACTCATGCCTGCCAGTGCCTAAGCACAAAGCGGACAGATCTCATTGTGTTCAGTGCTGCAGCTGCAAACACTCCTCTAAACAGGTCTCTATCGATTTCCCTAGCAGGGCCTCCCTCCATCTCTGTCTTACACAATTCTCACATTTTCCCACCCACCAGGTGCTGCCTTGTTGTGCCCCCCTCTTAGGGGCGTGTTTACTCATACAGGCGCTCTCCTGTTTTCCTGAGGTAGACAAAGCTGCTCAGCCACCCCCGCTGGTGGCAAAGTGTATCAGAAGCTATCGTTGGCACCTTGGACAGCACCACTAAACTCCCCTGGAGCCCCTGGGCTCAGTGGCTTGGTACTTCCGGCAGTTGGGCCCTGTCTTCTGGGCTGGGCAATGGAGCAGGTTTCCCACACCACGCAGTGGCCTCTCTTCATGTTTTCTCTTCCGTTGCAGAGACTCCGCCTTTCCATCAGGCCTTGTGAGGGCAAGGTGCGGCTGTGAGTCTTAACTCTTCTCTTTCCTTGTCTTTGGCCAAAATGGACCAGTGAGAGTCAAAAGAAAGACGCTCCTGGGAGTTGATTTCAGCATCATGTTCAGTGCCTTGGCCACGAGCCCTGACCTAATAGTCTTTTCTGTCCCAGAGAGAAATTTCGCAGTGATTCTACAGCCATGTAGGCTGTTGTAACAATGTTTGGAGAACATCTGCTAAGGTGTTGAGAGGAACCCAGTTGGAAAATTTAAAATATAACTGTTTGCTTTTTCCTCATGGCTTTACAGTGTAATTGACTAATATATTCTCTCTGGTGGTGACCAAGTGGAAGCATTTCACTTACATGTTTTTTTTTTTTTTTTTTTTTCTGATACCAAATCTAAGTTCCTGTCTGACTTTCCTTTTCTTTCTGAACATCCAGATTAACAAAACACCTTGCCTGCCCCCCTTACGGTAACCAGTATGAGTAGTGGTTACTAATAAAGCTTTGTAACTAGTCTGTTTGGGTTCAAATCTCTGATCCTACCTACAAGCTCTGTGATTTTAAAAGGTTAATTACTTTGTTTGACTCGCTTTTCTTATCTGTAAAATGAGGATAGTATTAATCCATGGAGTTACTTGGAGAATTAAATGAGTGAATAGACATAAATTGTGTAAAACGATGCCTAATTACTTAGTCAACACTTGTTGTTGTTGTTGTTTGCCGTCGAGTCGGCCCCGACTCATAGCGACCCCTCCTTGGGCTTCCGAGGCAGTATCACTACGGAAGTATGATTGCCCAATCTTCCTTCCGAGGAGTGGCTGGTGGGTTTGAACCACCAGCCTTCTGGTGAGCAGTCAAGTGCCTTAGGCACTATGCTACCAGAGCTCCTTAGTCAACACTAGCTATTATTATTAATACACTCCTTCAGAAATTTCAGCATACCTAAAGGGAGGAATATAATTTCAAGATGAAATCTAGATTCTTGCCTCTTAGAGAGTAAGCAGCAGCCTCTGCATCACCTGGAAGCTTGTTAAAGGTGCAGAATCCTGGACCCCACTTCAGACCCACTGAATCAGAATCTGCCTTTAACAGGCTCTCCAGGTGATACATATGCATATTAAAGTTAAGGAAGTACTTCTTAAGAATCTCTGCTCTTTGTAAGAGCCTAATTTTCAAAAAAGGAAGGTTGTCCAGAAAACATGTCCATACCTACTTTGGTACTGACATATTGCACATGTGTGAGGTTATTGATGATTTAAGCACTGTGCCTTTTGAGACTTACATATCTTTTATTGGTTGCAAAATGTCACTGGAGGACTAGGAAGATAATGTGCACTTCTGTGCTGTGTTAGTGACCTCTCAGTACCTCATATCACTGGTCTTACATTGCCTTGACTCAGTTAAATCAAAGCAGTGCTTTACTTTATTATGCTCATACAACCTCTGACTTGGGGGTGCATAATCTCATCCAGTTGTTAATAGGGAACGTTTTATTCTTAGGGAGGAAATGCCTATGAGCGTCAAATTGGGCATGGAAAACGGTGGCTAGTCAGTAGCCCCCTCTGAATGTGTTTCCATTTCTCTTTGGAGTGACATCTGTATAGAGAGATAATTTTGTTTTCTTATGTCACTCTCTTCAGCAGTGGATACCATAACCTTTTTGAAACTGCTAAAATGCAATAGTACATTTTATATGATTCCTCCTTTTCTTTCTTGCTTATATAATAAATTGGAGCTCTGGTGGCATAGTGCCTAAGGCACTTGACTGCTAACCAGAGGCAAAAAGAGTTCTCTGCTTAGGCAATTGGCTGCTCTGAATGCCATCCCAAGTTCACTATGCCACATGCTTACTAGCTCCAACTCTTCCATGTCCAGGGCTGGTTACCCTGGGAACATGCAAGTTCTCTCTCATGGTTTGTGCAGTACCAGATACTTGTTTGAACTTCTCTAGGTCTGGGGAGTAAAAGGAAGAAATGGTATGTCTGATGTGGAAACTCTGTGCTACAGATGGGCAGTATCATATTTTCTCCTCCCCATTTGGTAAGCGTCATCTCAGCAGGGGGACACTTGCTTTATGTGGACATGCACATGGTTTAAAGTTGGAAGATCAAATGTATCTGCAGCCACTGAGATAATGAAGTTCATCATGATGAATCTGTGGGTATTCATCTGTGATTTATTACAAGGGATTTCACTGTAGCCCTCAAGCACTCTGACTATGGGTCAGAGGTTATGTGCTTCATTATGGTGAATTTTCCTTTGTTGTAAACTCAACTTATTTTGGAGAACTTTGGTCAGGATTACCGAAAGCTCTAGTTCCTAATGTTCTCAAATTCTCATTTTGACATATGCTCTTCTACTTTGGTTGCCTGTAAGTTTGCAGCACCTTGAAGGATAGTAAACTATATCCCAGGCAAGAATTTGAGGTTTAATGTAACTAAATGAATCATGAGTCAGAGGCCTTGATTAGGTCAGAGAGTGCCTGCTAACAATGATAAGATATTAATTATATCCTATGATCAGATGATACAGAAATGTCTCACATCTTTTCGTGTACCTGGGCCCTGATGCAGACAGTAGAAATAGTAACTGTAACTCACACTGAGGCTGCAGGGTAAAGGGCTTCTTTTTTCTGATGCTGCCAGGACAATCTCTGAATTGTCTGTGGGCTCTGCCCTTGGAAAGAGGTGTGGGTAACACCAGGCTGTGATTTTTGATGGAAACTAGTTGTAATTGGGGTACAGCCTGGAAAGCGAGTTGGAGTGAAGGAGTTTGACAGCAATAAAATGACTTGAGGATAGAGATAAAAATATCTTGGATGTGATAGTTTTGTCTGTTGGTTTGCATGTCATTATTTCCCCACTTCCCTCCGCTTGCTTTTCCTGCAATAGGTGGCATGCAC